GTATCATCAGCAGCAGCATCATCACCACCATCATCATCAGCAGCATCATCGACATCATCATCTGCATCGTCAGCATCAGCATCATCATCATAATCATCAGCATCATAATCAGCATCATCAGCGTCTGCATTTGCATCATCATCACCATCGCCATCACCATCAGCATCACCCTCATCATACATGCATGCATACCTACATACATACATGCATACATACACACATACATACATACGTACATACATGCATGCATGCACACGTATATACATACACGCATACATACATACATACATACATACATACGTACGTACGTACGTACGTACGTACATACATACATACATACATACATGCACGCATACATACATACATACATACATACATACATACATACATACATACATACATACATATATACACTAGAACCACGCGCGCTTCGCGCGCGCTTAGGTTCTAGTCACTCCCGCGACCACGATCAACACAGCCAAACCGCCACGGTTACCACCGCCCTTTCCGCCATCACCGCGGTCACGACCACTTCCGATTCCATGTCCATTCTGTGCATGACCACCCCATCCACGAGGATTGCACTTTCCGCGACGACTACAACGGCCATTGGTTCAACTTCTGCCTGTACCGCCACCAGTACCACTACCATTGCCACTGCCACTGCCGCGAATCCACGACCACTATCATCACCACCACGGGTCGCTACACGTCGGGTCCTGGAAGTCCAGCGCATTCCACGGGACTGGTATGTCATCCTGTCCAAGAGATTCGCTAGCGTGACTTGTTCAACGCGGGGTCCCTGAAGCGGGCCCGAAGTCCGAAGACCTTCCATGGGCCCGGTGTTTCGTCGTACATGTTTGACGGTCCAGGCCCCGTTTCGGGCCTCATGAAGCGACGAGTGGTCTGAAGCTTCGGGAGCGGGAAGAGTACCTGAGGGCGTCTGGTCAGGGGGCTGTTGGGGGGCCTCTAGGGAGCTTCTTGAAGGTTTTTGGGGGGCTTCTTGGGGGCGTTTCGGGAGGCTCTTGGGGCCTCCTTGGGACCTCTGGGGGCGGAGGGCTTGAAATATTCGTAGGGCATCCTATCTGAGCCCCTGCTTGGGGCCGTCCTGAGTCCCTCTTGGGCCGTCTTGGGGGCCTCTTGGGCTAGCCAAGGGCCCTTTTGGGCTGTGTTGGAACCCTCTTTGGCTGTCTTGGGGCGATCCTGGCGGCCTCTCGGGCCGTCTCCGTTCGCCTGGAAGGTCAAGAGGCGAATCCCTGAAAAATATACGCGTTCCAGAGGGAACGGGGCCATTGTTGCCTCTTGGGCCCTCTTGGAAGGGCTCTTGGGGCCCTCTTGGGCTGTCTCGGGGGCTCCCGAGAGCCCTCTTGGAGCCATCGTCGGCGTCTTCAAGCTACATTTCGAGGCTTGTGCGCCCTCTTGATCTGTTTGGCGGCCTCCGGCGCCCTCGGGAGCCGTCCCGGGGGCGCCCCAGAGGCCTCGGTACCTCCATGCGCCGTCGAGGCCGCGGTCCCGGGCCCCCGGTCCTCGTCCACCGGGAGATATATATATATAGTAGAACCACGCGCGCGCTTCGCGCGCGCTTAGGTTCTAGCGCGGACTTCCCCGATTGTGAACGCGAGCTCGCACAGAAGAGGGGCAGGCGGATCGGTCGGAGCATCATCGACAAGTCGCAGCAGCTTCAAGGATGGAGGGGCGGCTGTTTGTTTTCAAAACGTGACTATCGCCCCAGCGCCGCGTGCTTTCCGATGTCGGTGTTTGCAGCCGCTGGCAGGACCGAGGGCGGCTCCTCTTCAACACGTGGTAGGCGCCCTGGCGCCGCGCCCAGTCGTCTGAAAGGTTTGCCACCGTTTGGGGTATTCGTTTGGTTGACGTCCGAGGCATGGTGTGCTGGCAGGGTTTACGAGCGTCAGGGCGCAGCAATAAGACGGATTCGCGGCGTTGAGATTCCAAGAACGACCTTCCGGCGTGGTTTAGGAATGCCAGGGCGCAACCGTCATGTTGCTTCGCTGCGCTGAAGTCCCAGGAACGGCGTCTTGTCACGATTGAGGATTCTCGGGCAGTTGCCGTCAAATGGAGCACTTCCCGAAATGAACAAATACTTCCCGTAGGAGCCTACGAAGAAAAAGCTAGGCGGGAGCGTTCATTGCAACATGGTTGATGGCTCTTGGATGTACACTGGTCCTTGTCCTCCTCCTCCTCCTCCTCCTCCTCCTCCTCCTCCTCCTCCTCCTCCTCCTCCTCCTTGCCGTCTCGGTAGCCGTTTTGGCACCGTTGTGGGGTCTCCTCGGGGCTGTTTTGTGGCCTCTTTAGGCCTCGTTTGGGCCTCCTGGGTGCCTCTTGGGGGCCTCCTGGGGCCTCTTGGGGGCTCCTTGGGGCCTCCTGGGGCACTCTTCAAGCCAGTTGGTCGAATCTTGGAGTCGTGGTCCCCGTCTTGGGCGCATCTTGGGGCCGTCTTGGGGTTCTGTTGGGCTGTCTTGGGCGACTCTGGGGCCCTCTTGGGGCCCTCTTGGGCCGTCTTGGGGAGCTCCTGGGGGCCTACTGAGCCGTCTTGGAACGTCGGACAGCCGAAAAGGCTGGAAGGCCAAAATCGTTCGAAAACCTTCGTAAAATTGACGATTTCGGCCTCTTGAAGCGCTCTGGAGATGCGTCTTGAAGCGTCGTGGAGTACCTTGGGGGGCCTCTCGGGCCGTCTTGGGCCTATCTTGGGCGTCCTGGAGCGGTCTTTCGGCGACTCCGGGCCCGCTTGGGCCGTCTTGGGGCTCTCTTCGCCCGTCTTGAGCGCGTTTTGGGCCGTCTTGGGGCCCTCCAGAGCCGTCTTAGGCCCCTCTTGGAGGCCTCTTGGGCTCTCCTGGGGCGTCCGCGGGGGGCCTTTGAGCCGTCGTGGAGCGTCGGAAAGCTGCGAAGGCGGGAAAAGCAAAATGTATCCAAAACCTCCGTAAAATAAACGATTTCGGCCTCTTGAAGCGCTCTGGAAAGGCGTCTTGAAGCGTCGTGGAGTGCCTTGGGAGGCCTCTCGGGCCGTCTTGAGCCTATCTTGGGCGTCCCGGAGCGGTATTTCGGCGACTCGGGGCCCGCTTGGGCCGTCTTGGGAGCCTCTGGATGCCCTCCTGGACTATTTTGGACCTCCCCGGCCGCCCCGTCCTCCCATGGGGGGTGAGAGGCGGCGGCCTCCGAGGCCCAGGACGCGGAAACCCTGTAAAAACACAGGGAAAATGAGCCCCCGTCCCCCCATGGGGGGTGGAGGCACCTGTTTGTGGGCCTCCGGTCTCGCTCCCAGGGTACATACATATATACATGCATGCATGCATACATACATACATTCATACATGCATGCATGCATACATACATATATGTATAAATACATAAATGTATACCTACACACATGCATACATACATGCATATGTGCATGCAAGCATGCCTACAGACATACATACCTACATACATACATACATGCATGCATGCATGCATGCATGCATGCATGCATGCATGCATACAGACAGACAGACAGACAGGCAGACACACATACATACATGCATACATGCATGCATACATACATACCATCAGAATCATCATCATCATCATCATCATCATCATCATCATCAGCAGTAGCATTATCATCATAACCATCATAAGCATCATCATCATCACCATCATCATCATCATCATCAGCATCAGCATTGCCACCATCACCATCACCATCACCATCATCAGCACCAGCAACACCATCACCATCATCATTAGCAGCATCAGCATCTGAATAAGAATTCTGATAATAATGATAACAATAATAATCAGCATCATCATCAGCATCATCATCATCAGCAGCGTCATCATCATCATCACCACCACCACAACCACCACCTAGTCCATCCTTCGCCTCATTCTCAACATTATCCACCTGCTCACCTTCCTTCTCCTCCTGCTCCTCTTCCCTCCTCCTGCTCCTCCTCCTCCTCCTCCTGCTCCTCCTCCTATTCCTCCTCCTACATCTCCTGCTCCCTCCTACCACCTCTTCCCCGTGTTCCCTCCCTCCCCGTCGACGGGAGCAAGCAGGAGGAGGAAACCACCAACGATCCACCGTAACAGAAAACAGTTCGAAATATGGTTCGCCGACTCCTGGATCCTGGCAACACCCCCAGCCTGTGGCACTTCCCAAAGGGGCAGCGACGACGAGTAGAGCACGAAGGAGACAACGACGACGACGACGACGACGACGACGACGACGACGACAACGACGATGACGACGACGATGACGACAACGGCGGCGGCGGCGACGGCGGCGACGACGACGACGACGACGACGATGGCACGACACTGACGACGACGACGATGACGACGACGACTACGACGACGACGACGACGGCGACGACGTCAACGAAGACGAAAACGACGACGACAACGACGACAACGAAGGCGACGACGACGACGACGACAGGACGAGAACGTCGGCGACGGCGACGACGACGGCGATGGCGACGGCCAACCCCGACGGCCACTCCCGACTGCCTCTGGAGGCCCACGGAGCTCCGAAAATCTGCCCGATCCTCCTCGGCACCCCTGTCCTCGGCCCTTTTCCGCCCTGCTCGATCCGCCCCCGTCCGCCGCGACCCGCATCGGCGCCGGCGTCGGCGGCGGCGGGATGGTCGCCCGCGCGGGGGGGGGGACGCCGACCTGGGCATCGGCGATGCAACGCGGATGGATCGGCGACCGGCCCTCGACAGCGAGGCCGCACGCTCCTGGCTGTCGGGCCCCCGTCGGCGATCCAGGGGCGCCTGGTGGAGGACAGAAAAGCCACCCCCAGAGTCACCCCGACAAGCGAAGCCGATAAGTAAACGTACCCAAGGAAGGAATCGAACAGGGCAGAGCTGTTAGTGAACGCCCAGGGCCGTTTGGTAAACGCCAGTTGTCGGGTCCAGTGGTTTTTCCTCCCTTGACTTGGGGGTCGACGCTTCCCCCCGTCAGACTACCCCCCCAACGGCACCCATGAGGGGGAGGGCCTCCGATACGCGGCGTCCAGCCAGCGCCATCTGGCCTCGCCGTCGTGCGGGAGGAACGGTGCGCGCCAGTCCGTGTGAAACAGCGTGATGCGGCGCTGCACCTGCCAACGGGGGCCGGCGGAAACCACAAGGGCAGATCCGGACATCCCGCAAATTGTTTTTGTCAAGCCCTGTCTCAGAGGCCTCGTTTTCAGGCTCAAAAGCAACTCCCGGACGAACAGCTGCCTCCCCGGAAGGGGTCGGGACCTCTGGGGCCGCGCATTTGAACAATACTTCCCAAGAACACACACACACATTTGTTTTGAGTCGACGGCTAAGCAGAGGGTGACTCCGCTGGCGAGGAATGGCACGAACGGGGGTACCATTGGGCCGAATTCCGCCACCATGCAGGAGAAGGAGGGAGGACGGACGCGGCCGAAGGGAAAAAAGGATGGCGCGGGCGGCTCGAATAAACACACACACACACACGCACACCCAACAACAAGAAAGATACTCATCGTCGGATGGCCGTGGAAAAAAAAACTGGGGCGGGCCTGGCACGTACTCGCCACAGAGCCTCGGCGAAGGCATGGGCGATCGGACCCCCTGGATACGTGTAGAATCCCCCCCCTGGGCCATCCGCCCCCAGTTTTTCTGATTTGCGCCGGGCTCGGTGGTGGGCTTTTTTTTTTCCACCACCACCACCATAAGTAAGTAAGTAAGAGGGGGAGGGGGTCTTCTTCCTTCTCCTCCTCCTCCTCCTCCTCCTCCTCCTCCTCCTCCTCCTCGTCCTCCTCCTCCTCCTCCTCCTCCTCCTCCTCCTCCTCCTCCTCCTCCTCCTCCTCCTCCTCCTCCTCCTCCTCTGGCGCCAGGCTGGATGTAGGCCTGGGCGCTTTCAGCGTTTTCCTATTTGGGCGTCGGAGAGCTCCTGATCAATCAGTTCCTTCTTTCGAGTTGGTTCCTTCTCCTCCTCATTCTCCTCTCCCTCCCACTCTGCTCGTGGCGCTTCGTGTCAAGCCACGGGCTGAGAAACCATGGTAAGGCTGGCAAGCAGTGTTGTGAATTCGAATGTTTCCCATTGTTCCATGTCGCTAACGCCAAACCGCCAGCAACATCGAAGAGGCTTCGGCGCCGAAGAAGTGGAACATTGGAAACATTAGATTTTACACTTTCCAACTGCCACAGCGCAAGGAACGCGAGGAGCCAGCTGGGAGCACGAGGAAACAGCGGGGGACACGAGGATTGGGGATGAGGGGGAGGAGAGGAAAAAAGGAGGAGGAGGAGGAGGCCCCATTGCTTTTCCTGCGTCCATGTTCCCTCCTCTTTCTCTCCATGTTTTTCCTCCCCTGTCAAAACCTGGGGGTGGCGGCGGCGGGGGGGACCGAGCACGTACGTGGTTTCGTTGTTGGCGTTACGTCCTTCGACCGCGTATAAGCCGAAGCATACGAGTGAAGCGATGGACGTAATGTGGCGAGGTCGTTATGTGCATGGTTGTTGTATATATGGATACGTGTGCAGTTTAATGTGGAGTTCCGCCGCAAATCCTGGAAAGGAAAAAAGGATGCTGATGAAGATGATGATGAAGATGGTGATGATGAATACGCTGGTGATGATGACGATGATGATGACGACGGTGGTGATAATGATGACGATGATGATGATGATGACGATGAGGATGACGACGCCGATGACGATGATGTTTATGATGGCGATGACGAGTATGTAGGTGTTTTGTTCAAGTCGCTGGATATCGCTCAAACGTTGACGGATCGTGCCATGATTACATCATCTGTCGCCGCGCGCCTGCGGAAGGCGATCGCGACGCGCGATCGGAAACGCAAGTCTTCGTCCGAGCGGTGGATCGAGAGACCGCGGGTGAAAGCGGCGTGGGTGGCCAAGTGCCACAGAGGTGGCTCGGGAGCTCAAGTGGGAGGTGTCGAAATGCATGGGAAATGCGAATGAGGCCAACAGGCGGGCCGACTTCGTCACGAATGTCCTTAACAAGCACAAGGGCTTGGTCAGCGCGCTGCGCCCTCTGGCCGAAAAGGCGAAAACGTTCGAGGAAGGCAACGCCAAGCTTAAGAAGAAACCCGAAAAGGCCGAACCGAAAAACAAGGAGGATGTGAAGAAGATGAAGCAAGAGCAGGAAGAGCACAAAAAGACCAAGGACCGCCACGGAGAAAGAGCTCACCCACCTTTGCCTGTCGGGTTCCCTTTCCCTCTCCCCCTCTGCTTCTCCTGGACAGCCTCGCTTTTTGAGCTGCAGACACCGTCGGTCTCGCCCGCCCCCACAGGAGAAGCTGCAGAAGCTGACATCCCAGCGGAAACGCTTCACCCGGCCCGCCAAGCGCCGAAGTGGCGCGCTACTGGCGCAACGCCACGAGCCCGAACCTCGACTGGCGCCACTCCGACAGGGACGGCCCCTTTTTGACGCGCAGTGAACACAGCGCACTCATAGTCGACAAGAGAAACGAACGGCCTGCAACATGTCCGCCTTGCTGCTCTTCCCCACCCTCCATCTTCTCCCCCCGAACGAAACGAGCCAAGAGGCTTGGGCAAAGCGACCAAAGTGAGGGGGTCCGACATCGGATCCCCCTCCTCTCTTTTCTCGAATGCGCATTCGCAGCACGCGTCATCACAATGCGATCGACACCCAGAATCACAGCCAAGAGGCTCGGGCGAAAGCGAACGAAGAGGGGGATCCGACATTGGATCCCCCTCTTTTCTGTTCTCGAATGCGCATTCGTAAGATCGATACGCGGCATCGCGAGGCGATCGTTGCAACATATGACAACAAAGTTAAAACTCATGGACTAGGGGGGCGGCAGGGGACGCAGAGGACAGCAAGCGGGGGGCACGGCGAGGGAGGGCGCGAGGGGCCAGCAGGGGGGCGCGAGGGGCAACGGGGGACAGCACGGGCACGCGAAACAATACCTGATCGTAGTTCGCGGTTTTGGCTCAAACCACGCGGATCGCAGCTACGCCGGCGCAGTCAGCGCCATGGCCGTTCCAGGAGAGGACGCAACGTTCGCTCAAGCAAAAGCGGCAACCGAGAATCTTGCGCGACGGACACCTGTTCGCCCAACGATGTCTGATGCGTCTGAAATACCTGATTACGCTCCCTTCATGTCAGACCCGGCTCCACTCATCGATCGCGCCCCCGACATGCTCGGGAACCGCGGGGCGAGGCACGTCGTCGATGTCCTCATCGACTACGACGGCGACACGCCCAAGGAGCTACTGACGAACGTGGACAACGCGAAGAAGCTCGGCGAGGCCCCCGCGCCGATCCGCGCGGCCCACTTCCTTGCGGCGTCTCACCAAATGCCCCTGCACATCGTCGACCAGCCCAACGGCGCAACGACCATCATGAAGCACTTCGAGCTTGAAGACAGGCAGAAGCGGGACATGCTGCTGAAGGCCTGCAGCGGCACGCCCCACGCGACCACGCGGGGCGCGGCCGCGCCCCGCGCAAAGGTCGGGCAAAGTATTCACTCGTTGTATGAAGAACCTCGGCGGATACCAGATCCGAGCCTTCGGGCCAGGAGCCCCCGCGGACGCGGGAGACCCTCTCGCCGACGACAACGCCGTAGATGATGGATTTGAATTATCATCGCCGAGGGCCCGCGGACGAACGCGAATCTCATGCAGGCGATTTGTGCCGCGCAGAATACTCGCAAGACATCTGACTCACCCATTGCGAACTGGCCGAGGGCTCTCGTGGAGAAAGCTCTGAACGCGCTCAGCGGATAACTGAGTCTGGCACAGGCGCATTCGTTCGTCCCGATCCCTCTGGCGGACGTCGCCTCGCGCATTCTGAATGCACTCCGAGCGCTTTGTTCATCGTTGTGGAGGCGGGGGCTCTTCATGCTCAGCGCCCCTGACTACGGTGAGACGCCAGTTGGCATTGCCCTGCAGATGTCTCTCAGCCGTGACCTGAACAAAACCCGACGGGGCCTGCTACAAACTTGACTCAGATATAGTCGAGGCGAGTTGGGCCGCGTGGGTCGCCGCGACATCTTCAACGATGGTGACAGATCTGCTCAGTCGCTTGAAGCCACCCAGCGTTTCTTGGACGCGTCTCTCGCGGAAGCCGCAACGCAGGCGCGCCGGGGCGGCTGCCGCCGGGTGAAAGGCCAGCCCGCGATAATCATGGACAGCGAGCTGGACATCACCGCGGAGCCCGCGGGGGACGAAGCGACAGTCTCCCATGAGGACTTCATGAAAATCATCAGCCCAGCGCACCCGTCGGGGTCGCTACCGTCTGACAAAGAGGCCGTGCTCAAGGTCGTATTTCATGGTGCAGACGGAGAATTGGCCCAATGCGCGGGTGGCATCGGAGGAGAAAGTCCTCGCGCAGAGGGTCAGGTTCAACGCGAGCATTGGCTGCGTGCGGACCGCTAGTAGAAGTGCGAGAGCTTCGACCAGAGTCACACTCGCGTTCCCGCTGATTTCGAAGGGTGCTTGCGCCGGGAGCGCCAGTGCGTAGCGAGCGCCCTGAACTCGCCCGCGCCAGCGCCATTGCCGCGCCCTGCCGTGGTTGCGCCAGCCCCAGTGCCGCGGCCAGCGTTCGCCCATGTTCCCCCGACGCCTCCTCCGTCGCAGGCGACTGGCGGGGCGGAAATGTTGGATCGCCCCGACGCCGACGGCGCGCACAGGACCCCGACGCTCGCGCCGCTCATCGCCCGCGCCCCCAACCCTGCCGCGCGCCGTCGAATCCGATGCCCTGCGAACTTGCCAGGCCACCACCACATGGATCTCACGGGCGGCTCCGATGCCGCCCCCAAGGCGGAGGCCGCAGTCAGGCTCGAGGCGGCGGATGCCGCGGCCAAGCTTGAGCCGGGCGACTAGAGCAGAGTCAAACGCGGCTTGGACGGAGAGCAGGGCAACGGAGGCACCGGTCCCGGCGTCGCCCGCAGTGCCAAGAAATCCAAGATCGATGAGCATATTCACGATGAGTCTAGCGCGTTCAACGAGCTGAAATCCATGCGCAAGGAGACGCTGGTGATCATGGACAGCGACGATGGGGCGCTGAACCTCATGGACGACCCGAACTACCAGCGCCAGCAGGACGACTTTTTGGCAGCGCTTCAATCGCAGCCTCGCCTGCACACGTCGCACG